TGACATAGACAAGGATGTCAGCCACAGCACCGTGTCTTCCTTTGCAGATGACACCCGAATCTGCATGACAGTGTCTTCCACTGCAGACACTGCAAGGCTCCAGGCGGACATCAACCAAATCTTTCAGTGGGCTGCAGAAAACAATATGAAGTTCAACGATGAGAAATTTCAATTACTCAGATATGGTAAACACGAGGAAATTAAATCTTCGTCAGAGTACAAAACAAATTCTGGCCACATAATAGAGCGAAACACCAACGTCAAAGACCTGGGAGTGATCATGTCGGAGGATCTCGCCTTCAAGGACCATAACACTGTATCAATCGCATCTGCTAGAAAAATGACAGGAAGGATAATGAGAACCTTCAAAACTAGGGATGCCAAGCCCATGATGACACTGTTCAGGTCACTTATTTTATCTAGGCTGGAATATTGCTGCACACTAACAGTACCTTTCAAGGCAGGTGAAATTGCTGACCTAGAAAATGGACAGAGAACCTTCACGGCGCGCATAACGAAGATATAACACCTAAATTACTGGGAGCGCTTGAGGTTCCTGAACCTGTATTCCCTGGAACGCAGGCGGGAGAGATACATGATTATATACACCTGGAAAATCCTAGAGGGACTAGTACCGAACTTGCACACGAAAATCACTCACTACGAAAGGAAAAGACTTGGCAGACGATGCAACATCCCCCCAATGAAAAGCAGGGGTGTCACTAGCACGTTGAGACCATACAATAAGTGTCAGGGGCCCGAGACTGTTCAACTGCCTCCCAGCATACATAAGGGGGATTACCAACAGACCCCTGGCAGTCTTCAAGCTGGCACTGGACAAGCACCTAAAGTCGGTTCCTGACCAGCCGGGCTGTGGCTCGTACGTTGGTTTGCGTGCAGCCAGCAGTAACAGCCTGGTTGATCAGGCTCTGATCCACCAGGAGGCCTGGTCACAGACCGGGCTGCGGGGGCGTTGACCCCCGGAACTCTCTCCAGGTAAACAGGGGCAAGAAGCCCCTGTCACGTCTTTAGCATTGTATGGAGAGGGAGCATGGACATGGGCGTCATCTCAGTCACTTAAAACAAGAGCCATAGCCCCACTCCACAAATGGGGCAGTAAAACAATAGCAAAGAATTACAGGCCAATAGCACTAACGTCCCATATAAAAATCTTTGAAAGGGTTCTAAAAAGCAAGATCGCTACCCATCTAGATACCCATCAGTTACACAACCCAGGGCAACATGGATTTATTGCAGGCCGCTCCTGCCTTGCCCAACTACTGGATCACTATGACAAGGTCTTGGATGTTTTAGAGAAACAAAATGCACATGTAGCATACACAGACTTTGCGAAAACCTTCGACAAGTGTGACCATGGTGTAATAGCGCACAAAATAAGTGAAAAGGGAATAACGGGAAAAGTTGGTAGATGGATCTATAGCTTCCTAAAAAATAAAACACGGAGTAATAGTGAACAGAGTAAAGTCTGAGGCGGCCACAGTGAAAAAGCTCTGTTCCACAAGGCACAGTACTCTCTCCCATCCTTGTTCCTCATCCTCGTGTCTTCCTTTGCGGATGACACCCGAGTTTGCATGACAGTGTCATCCATCGAAGACACTGCAAGACTCCACACTGACATCAACCAAATCTTTAATTGGGTAGCAGAAAACAGTATGAAGTTCAGTGAAAAGAAATTTTAATCACTCCGATATGGAAAACTTGAGAAAATTATAACTGTATAGGAGTATAAAACAAATTCCAACCGCACAAGAGAGAGAAAAACTAATGTGAAGGACCTGGGAGTGATAATGTTAGAGGATGTCACTTTCAGAGATCACAATAATGTATCCACCACATCTCTTAGAGAAATGATGGGATGAATAACGGGAACCTTCAAAACTAGGAATGCCCAATCCATGCTGATTCTCTTCAAATTTCTTGTTCTTTCTAGGCTGGAATATTGCTGTACGCTAACGGCTCCTTTCAAGGCAAGTGAAATTGCTGACCTGGAGAGTGTATAGAGCTTCACGGCAGACACAAGTACGATAAAACTCCTAAATTACTAGGAATGGTTGAAGTTCCTTGGCTTGTATTCCCTGGAACGCAGGCGGGAAAGATATAATAATAATAATAGTTTATTAAGGCATGATACATAGTTGTACAAGGAATTATAGTAGTTCCCAGATCTGCACACTGTCATAACAACATACTGGAGTGAGAGATATGGGAGGAAGTGTAAAATAAACCCAGTGAAGAGCAGGGGTGCGGCGGGGACAATAAGGGAACAATGCATCAACATCCGGGGTCCCAGACTTTTCAACATCTTACCAGAAGATATCAGAAACACTGCTGGAACAAGTGTTGAAGCCTTCAAGAGGAAACTAGACAAGTATCTTCACCAGGTGCCAGATCAACCAGGCTGTGATGGATATGTGGGGCAGCGGGCCTCCAGCAGCAACAGCCTGGTTAATCAGGCGAGCACCAGACGAGCCTGACCCATGGCCGGGCTCAGAGAGTAGATATACTCTCGAAATTCTTCAAAGGTATATCAAAGGTAAGGTATAAAGTTGGGTTTACATGCCAAAGGCCCCTTGTATGCAGAGCATTATGGGCAGCTTAAAATTAACTTAAGATTAACTAAGCTATAGTAGATTCAGTAGTAAAAATTACAGTAAACAATTTACAATATGAGCTACAATTGAATATTTTAAACAATGAAATTCGAACATTTCAGTTTTGAAGCATTATAGTTGCATTACAATGTATAATATAATAAAATGGTCAGTTTACTATATGTAGTCGTACAATTTATTAATCAGGTCAAAGCGAATAAAATCAACGATTTGTAGTGCAGAAACGGTTCATATGGTCATGAGATGAGTTACTGTGCATTCAAAAGAATGGATTATTATATTAGGTAATGCAATTAAAAACATATTTCCATAGGGTAACGGGTTATACATTTATGAAGTATAAGTTATTCAATATTTATTGATCTTTTGAGCATTTAATTATGGGGCTCTGAGGCTAGGGGAGTAACAGTGTGTAATGATATTTTGAGGCAGTAGAAAGTGATTTGTTAACTTTGTAGGTAAGGTTAGGTACTGTGTGTTTAGTTTTGGGTAAGTAAGTGGTTTTTTTAAGTTGTCTTAAATTGGTAAACAGTGTTTCTTTGGTATTCACGAGTAATGAATTCCAAATTTTTGGACCTTGTATGTGCATTGAGTTTTTACATAGTGTGAGATGGACACGTGGAACATCAAAGAGTGATCTGTCTTGTGTTATGGTCGTGTGTGCTGTTAAGGTTGGTAAGGAGAAGTTTGAGGAGAGGGTTTATATCTGAGTTTAGTGTTCTATGTATGTAGTAGGCACAATAATAAGTATGGATGTTTTGTACGGTAAGTTTAGACTTTTGAATATTGGTGGAGTATGCTGTCTGGAGTGGGAATTTATCATTCTGGCTGCAGCCTTTTGTTGGGTAATTAATGGTCTGAGATGATTTATTGTTGTTGAGCCCTATGCACAGATTCCATAAGTGAGATTGGGGCAAATGAGTGATATAGGGCCAGGAGAGTCGATTGTGGAACATAGTACCGTATCTTCGATAGTATGCCTACGGCCTTGGAGACTTTCTTGGAAATTTGTTGTACATGTGTCTGAAATTTGAGTATTATCAAATTTTCCCTCTGTGAGCTTTGTGACAGGTGAACCGTTTATCATTGTTAAGTAGAGCATTTGTGGTTCTGTTCCCGAACTGAATGAAGTAGGTTTTATCAATATTGAGAGTAAGCTTGTTAATCATCATCCAGGTAGATATTTTCTGTAATTCAGTATTTACAGTATTGGCTAGTATGACTGGGCTTGGGTGAGAGAAGACGCATGTAGTGTCATCTGCAAATAGTGTGGGTTTGAGTAGTTGAGATGCATTTGGTAGGTCGTTTATGTAAATGAGAAAGAGAAGTGGGCCAAGGACACTTCCCTGTGGGACACCAACTGTAATTGGTTGTGTGGAAGAGTTAGCTCCATTTGTGTGCACATTATTGGCTAGAGGGATTAGTACCAAATTTGCACACGGAAATCACTCCCTACAGAAGCAAAAGATTCGACAGGCAGTGCAATTTCCCCCCAGTGAAAAGCAGGGGCACTACGAGCACACTAAGAGAAAACAATAAATGTCAGGGGCCCAAGACTTAAACTGCCTCCCAGCATACATAAAGGGTATTACCAATAGACCAATGGCTGTCTTCAAGAAGGCTTTGAACAGGCACCTAAAGTCAGTACCTGGCCAGCCGGGTTGTGGTTCGTACGTCAGTCTACGTGCGTCCAGCAGTAGGTTGATCAGGCCCTGATCCACTGCGAGGCCTGGTCACAGACCGGGCCGCGGGGGCGTTAACCCCCGAAACCTTAAAAAATTGAAACGGCTAGGCAACAGAACTGTATGAACAGTAGTTACAATAGAAGGAGATATACTAGGTATTAGGTAAACTGAGTTATTTACATTAACAGTAAAGAGAGGATCAGATCACAGTAATACCTGAAGCACACCTGCAGGGTGTTCCGGGGGTCAACGCACCCGCGGCCCGGTCCGCAACCAGGCCTTGCAGTGGATCAGGGCCTGATCAACCAGGCTGTTACTGCTGGCCGCAATAGTTACGAGTGTTACAGTAATAGGTATATGCATGTTAGTTTTAAAAGGAATCACTCTCCTCCCTTTCTGTAGCTTCATTGGGTGAGAGAAATTCCTCTCCTCTCTTCAGAGCCCAGGGAGAGGGAGAATGTGAAGCTGTCAGTAATCTCGGAACAAATGAGAAATAACTCCATAATTCATGTATCAGTGACCCAGAATATGGCACGTCTTAATGTTTAATATGTTTATTATGCACCCCATACCCATCCTGTGGGCGGTAGTCAAAAGATTACAGAGGTACATAATTGGTCCAGGGACTCAGTCAGGTTTTAGTTGAAGCTCAAGCAGGTTGTCTGGAGAGTATTATATTTGTTGTTACTCATACTCTAGGATGGCTGAAGAAGAAGATATAATGGAAGATGCATTGACTTGTGGGATCTGCTCTGAGGAATACCAAGCTGGTACCCGGGAGCCCGTCACATTACACTGTGGTCACACCTTCTGCCGGCACTGCCTTCTCACTCTGGAGAAACCAGGAGGTCTGCCCTGTCCTGCCTGCCGTAAGCTTCACGCCGCAGCCACAGTCTCCTGTCTTCCTCCCAGCTACACTATACTCGCTGTCCTTGACACTTACTCCACTACTACCCAGGTGATTTTTTTTCTTTTTATTCGTCCAGTAAAAATCCATTTACGGGTATTAGCAATAAGATGACCTGATTAATGGTACTGGCACCAAGGGAAGGGGGACGGGGGGCGGCTGTAGTGGAATGCCGACGTTCAGACTTATCCATGTTGAGCTCAAATTTATGTAGGTACAGGTACACAGAAGTACAATGATCATAATTAGTATAAATTACCTAGGATAACCCCCCCCCAGAAAAGTCGAGATAGATAAGCCTCTCAGGCGAACTCTCCCTCGAAGGTTTTAGTTCAACATCTTTATTTTGCACCACATAGCTAAATAGTTAGGAAAATTCTTAAAGCTTAGGCAAATTAAGCCTTATTTTGTGTAACTTTTATGAAGATTTGTTTTGGTGGAACAATTAAAAATTTGTTCAGCTTGGGTTAGTTGTTTTCCTGGGAAAGGACGTCGAAGCGAATATTTAGGGAATATTTTGTCTGTATTTTTGGTGCTATTTTTTTAGTTTGTTCTGTTACTCTTGCTGAATTCTTTGTTCCTGTTCGAAAATCTTTATAGAGTATAGTTTACCTGGAGTTTACCTGGAGAGAGTTTCGGGGGTCAACGCCCCCGCGGCCCGGTCTGTGACCAGGCCTCCTGGTGGATCAGCGCCTGATCAACCAGGCTGTTGCTGCTGGCTGCACGCAAACCAACGTACGAGCCACAGCCCGGCTGATCAGGAACTGACTTTAGGTGCTTGTCCAGTGCCAGCTTGAAGACTGCCAGGGGTCTGTTGGTAATCCCCCTTATGTGTGCTGGGAGGCAGTAAGAATAATTTGTATTTAAATTTTAAAAATGAGGTGTGAGCATAGAGGTCTAATTCATACGTGCTAACGTCACATTCGTTGCTTGTTCTTATTCTCCAAGTAGATATCTCGGTGAGTACAAACAGGAAGCGCGTGTGTCTGCGTTCGAAAGACTGAGGATCGAGCTTCCATCTACCACGTCTTGCACTGGATGATCCACATGGATTTAGCGCTGAACGCGAATTATTAAACTTTTTATTCTCAGTTATTCACATCCTGTTCATATTTGATTGTTTTAGTTACAGCAAAGTAAATATTTAAACATTTTGACACACAGCTTTCGTTCATTACAACCTCTGTTTATATCGTATAAATGCTTCACTTAGAAATATCATCTCTTGAGTATTCTGTTAATTGTTTGGATGGCAAATTATTTTTGGGTAGACTTTGTTTTTAAATTGTACATAATGATAATTACCTGAAGGTTGAACGGGCAACTACATTTCTGCAAATTCTTAGATAGGTTCGGTAAATGAAGTTAGAGTATATTACACAAAGTTTAGCATATTTAGGATGCAAGGTTGTAGTGCAGTATTAAAATTTTTAACAGTTGTTTTCTGGTAATTTTCTTTTCCAGATGAAAACCTTTATTTTCTCTTTATTTTTGGTATTTGAAGGTTAAGGAGTGTGTTAATCACAAGGAGCCGCTGGGGTACTGGTGCCGGGAGTGTGAGAGACTTGCATGTGGTTTATGCATCTTCGAGAGTCATAAAGATGACAACCACACCATTATATCATCAAGAGTCATCCTCCAAGAGAAGAAACAATGGCTGCAAGAGGAAACCAGTAAGCTTAGTAAAATGTTAGAAGCTCAGCTTGTGATTAGTGTTAGAAAGTCGGTTAGCGATTTACTCAGCTTGTTACAGAAAAACTTCAAAGTAACCAAAATTCAGGAAGAAGCTATTTCTAACTCTGCACTACTAAAGAAGACAACTAGCATGGAGATGATGTTACAGTGTGAGACTAAACACAGGCGACTTACTGATGCTTGCCAAAACACTGATCTGGGTCATGGATCACTTGAGTCGGTGGAAGCCAGCTTTCCTGTGAATTTACCAGCTCAGATCCCAGGAACTCAAGCCACAAATACCTCTAAACCTTATCCAGTGACATGTAGTGTCCAATATGGGGACGGCCGTTGGGCACGACTAGCTTGGGATGATGATGATCTTCTGTTATTCTCCTTCTCCACTCAGAATTTGGAGACCCACTTCACCTTGCATGTAAGTGAAAAATTTCACGAGAATTTAGTCTCTGAAAGTTTCAAAACTTGTTTATTATATCTAGTATTATTCCTTTTAAATTTGGCTAAATAAAGTCTGGCCCTAGTGTTCTGGGTTGATCGCATAAATGACAATATGTAAGAGAGGGGAAGAGAAACAGACTTGTACTACTAGGACATTTACCGAGACGTTTCGCTCGGGGAATTTTTTTTCCGGTTCGGTACAAGGATGATAATACATACGTCAGGGGCGAAATAATGAAGCTGTCTTCAGATAGTGACCCGCCACTAGTTCCCAAGGGAATATTGGAGTCTGTACAAATGGGGTGCCGTTTATAGCCCTATGGTAGGGGCTCAGTACAGTCCTCAGTTTAAGTAGGATGGTGAGCCATCTCAGACTCGTCTACTACCTTCCCCAATCACACGGAGCTCGTAGGTAGTAGCAGAGGTGTTGGAGTAGCAGGAGTCAAGGTTGCATCTCTGGCAACCTTGACTCAAACCTCTACAACACGATTGTCCTCATACATTTAAGTTATACCGTGAATTAAGGAAAGATCTTAGACTTCACCTTACGAAACAAAGTAAGTACGATAGTAATTATGGACAAGGTAGACTATAGTGGAAAATGAACATGTTAGACGGCTGGGGAAATTAGGTGCTTCTTTAAGGTCCCGTGTTCTTGCTGGTATGAGGCTCTGTTCTCAGCTCAGCCCTACTGGAGCTGGAGCCCCCGCAGCCCTATCGCCTGGGTAACTTGTGGTCTGCCTCCTGCACTGGTTATGACATCTAGTAACAAGGAAGGTTTAGGAAGCGAGGTATGGTGCAGAGCGGAGGGACCACTACTCGTCTAATAGCAGTTTTGAAAGAGGGAAATGCAGTATAACTGTATAATGCTATCATTTATTGATAACATTTCGCCCCCACATTGGGCGAAGCTTTACAAATAGATATATTATTTACGAAACCTTGTCAAACAAGGATAGCATTCATTGTATGTCTCTTTTCCAGTGTGTGTATTTTATACTATTTCTATCTAGGCGAGAAAGATGCATGATAATATGCACTTTGAAAATATTTGAGGGACTAGTCCCAAATCTGCATACGGAAATCACTCCCTACGAAACCAGAAGACTCGGCAGGTGATGCAACATTCCCTCCATGAAAAGCAGGGGCGAGATGAGTATGCTGAGAGAGGACACAGTGTCAGGGGCCCAAGACTGTTCATCTGCCTCCTAGCATACATAAGGGGGATTACTAATAGACCCCTGGCTATCTTCAAGAGGGAGCTGGATAGGCACCTAAAGTCAGTACCTGACTAGCCGGGCTGTGGTTCATACGTCGGTTTGCGTGCGGCCAGCAATATCAGCCTGGTTGATTAGGCCCTGATCCACCGCGAAGTCTGGTCACGCACCGGGCTGCAGGGGCGTTGATCCCTAGGAACACACTCCAGGTATAACAGCGTCTTGGTGGGTCATCCACTTTAGGTGGAGCTACTAGGTCACACACTCCCTGCTCCATGAGCTTTATCATACCTCTTCTTAAAGCTACATATGGTTCCTGCCTCCACTACATCACTTTCCAGGCTATTCCACTTCCTGACAACTCTATGACTGAAGAAATACTTCCTAACATCCCTGTGATTCATCTGAGTCTTTAACTTCCAATTGTGACCCCTTGTTGCTGTGTACCATCTCCGAAACATCCTGTCTCTGTTCACGTTATCAATTCCTCTGTGTTTTATATGTCGTTATCATATCTTCCCTATCTCTCCTGTCCCCCAGTGTCGCTAGGTTATTTTTCCTTAACCTCTCTTCGTAGGACATGGCCCTTAGTTCCGGGACTAGTCTCGTTGCAGACCTTTGCACTTGTGCTTGGCCAGGTGTGGGTTCCAAACTGGTGCTGCATACTCCAATATGGGCCTGACACGATGTACAGAGGCCTGAACGATTCCTTACTGAGATATTGGGATGCTGTTCTTAGGTTTGCTAGGCGCCCATATGCTGCAGCAGTTATTTGGTTGATATGCACCTCAGGAGATGTGCTCGGTATTATACTCATCCCAAGATCATTTTCCTTGAGTGAGGTTTGTAGTCTTTGGCCCTCTATACTGTACTCTGCGGTCTTCTTTGACCTTCCCCTGATCTTCATGACTCTGCAATTGGTGGGGTTAAAGTCTAGGAGCCATTTGCTAGACCAGGCTTGCAGCCGACTGTCCAGATCCCTTTGTAGTCCTGCCTGATCCTCATCCGACTGATTCTCATTAGTTTCACATCATCTGCAAACAAGGATACTTCTGGGTCTATCCCTTCCGTCATGTCATTCATATATACCAGATACAGCACCGGTCTTAGGACTGACCCTGTGGAACCCCACTCATCACAGGTGCCCACTCTGATACATCATGTACCATGACTTGCTGATGCTTTCCCGTCAGGTATTCTCTGATCCTTTTCAGTGCCTTCCCTGTTATACCTGCCTGGTCCTCCAGCTTTTGCACTAATCTCTTGTGTGGAACTGTCAAAAGCCTTCTCTTTTCTTACTGCTGTCACCTTGTCATAAAACTCCAGTAGGTCTGTGACACAGGATTTCCCATCCCTGAATTCGTGCTGGTTGTTGTTAAGCTCATTCCTTTCTAGATGCTCCACCACTCTTCTGATAATCTTCTC